GATAGACATAGTTTCCACATTGTGCGAGAGTTGGTAATCTATACTCGTCTTTACCTATGCCGCCGACCAATGAAAAGTCGGGGCCAGATCAGGCAATTAGCCGCTCGTCTGGTCACCCTACATACAATGCAAAACTCCGCAAGATGGCCGCCCGTCAAAAGTCAGTTATTCAAAATGACTTGTTTGTCCCTTTGGGGAATTCAACGCAATGCGGTGATGTCGCGTATTTTTGCATTGCTTCTCTTTCGGCTAATTTTGAGGTAGTTTGCTTCTGCTAGCATGGTTGAAGAGACTTTTTAATTGAAATTAAACAAATATACAAAAAGTAGAAAATGAATAACCTGAAGACCTAAATAATCTAACCCGACCAAAATTGAATTTATCTACATGCTAGGAATTCAAGGAAACAATTTACATGAACTTAGAACGTTTTGCGCAGATTGGCAACACCGCTCGAAATATAGTGTTTTCTGCAAACCTTGCGGGTTGTTTTTTGCTTAATTTATGAACTACCCAGAAATTTCCTCTCTGAAACTGCTTAATTTAAAGCGTTCTTAAAAGTAAAACAAGAAAAAACTGCAAATTTGAAGGGTGAACGAAAACGACGCCATCACCGACAATTTTGGATGCCTCATGGACTTCTTTCTCATTGCTCGCAATAAATCCATCCATTTACGGCTGTTTACTTTACAAATAAACACTTACTCGTATTGTGCTGGATTAATTTGGTGATTCGTCTACACTTTTCCTTTCTATTCCAACACCAGAATTCTATTCCAGCACCACTATTCCAACACCAGAATTTGCAGTAACGCCATGACACATGACCACAGATCACACAGGTTATAGATTGGAAACTGCCATATACGCGTGCAGAATGCTATTTGTCGCTTAAATCACCGGCTGCAATCAAAACTAAACTCTAATTTCCACTACTGGCAGAAGAAATCTTCTTTATCGATTGGATTCACATCAAAATTTAGCGGGGTATTTGATTTCAGTTTATGACCTCTGTGATTTCCGTTCAAGTTTCAATAACATTTCAAGCATTTCATCATGCTCCTTAATTGTGATGTTTATGCTAGGGCTTCAATTAACATCACAATTAAAGGGCAATATGAGATACTCGAAATATTATTGAAACTTCAGCGGAAATCACAGAGTTCGTAAAGTGCATTCAAATCGCCTGCTAAAATTGTGTTCGTGTGAAAACTAGGACAAATTGGGAAAATAAAGCACATGAATTTATCTTTACAATAGGTATTTATTAAACTAAAAAACCTAGAGATTTTATATTGAGATTACATGAGTTAGATCGTGTGGTGCTTCAACAAAACGTGAAATAAGTTTTATTCACATTAAATAATAAATATGTTGAACAAATATGTAAAGTGTTGATATAAGTATCCAATTATTACCTGCTATTTATGTTCAGTTGGTACCTGATGGTTGTTTTTGTCTTCGTTTTTTGGTTATCGATGAAGTTTAGGAAATGCTCTCCTACAGCACTGGAATTCTGGCGCGCTGGGTTCTGTGGGGCTCCAGCCAAGCTGTTTACTCACTAAAACTCCTTCCGTCTTAGCGTCCAGCCTGGGACTACGGCCATTTCTGTTCTTTTATTGTATATTTTCTGTACAGGCCATATCTTGGAGTGAAATGATGCAAAATTATTTCGGGTCAAGCTTTTAGTGATTCTCAGGAAATCGAAATCGTCGACCATTTTGATTTTCACGAACACATCACAACACTGGAAGCGGCTGGTATCTGGCTACCTTATATTCAGTTGTTGTAAAACTCAAATAAACTTCACAGTTGTCTAGAGATCACAGAATTCCGAACACAACACTTAGTCATTCTCCGAGCCACGTTATGCTCCATTATTGTAAAACAAACATAAATATCACAGTTATCAAACTAGTTGAAAATGCTTATGATTGCAAATTAATTGATATTGATAGAATTGATTAACATTGATAGACTGAAAGATTGAAAATTGACGGAATAATCTTAACCGTAAAATAC